ACTCCTACGAGACTGGAAGATTAAATCCTCCAACTCCTCTGCTGCTGCTGCTGTCGTCCCCCCTGCATGCAGCAAACAACCCCACCACCACACACACACACACACAACAAAGACACACAAATGCAGCAACAGCACATGCATGCATGCACCAACACTGCAGCAGCAGCAGCAGCACGCAGCAGCAGCAGCAGCAGCAGGTGTGTCACATACCTCCTGTCTCTTGGGTAAGACCATTATCCCCTATTCCCTTAAGGGGCCCCTCTTTGTGCCCCTTAATAGGGGCCTCCTTGAACATAAGTGTTAATTCCTCTGATGTACAGGGTCGCTGCAGCTTTGCTGCTGCAGCTGCTTCTAGCAGCTTGAGAGCATCGTGTTGCTGCTGCTGTTGCTGCTGCTGCTGTTGCTGTTGCTCCCTTCTCTCATCGTGCTGCTGCTGCTGCTGATGATCATGGTCCTGCTTCTGCTGCTGCTGATGCTTCGTCTCCTCAGCAACTTGGGCACGCTGTCCCAGTTGCTGTAGCAAATCAAGAGGAAGCATAGCAGCTTTTTGCAGTTTCTGTTGCTGTTGCTGTTGTTGTTGCTGCTGCTGCTTCTGCTGCAGCAGCTCATCATCGGCTCCTTCCTCACAGCTACTCCTACGCATGTCACTTGTAGTAGGGGTAACTGGAGGAGCAGCGGCAAGGAGTGCCCAGGGGGCCCCCGCCCTTGAGGCGGCTTTGCGGCCCAAGGGGCCCCCTGCAGGCCAGCCATCACTACATGAGGGGCCCCCCCCCTGAGGTACCCCCATACTTAGCAATGACTGTAATATATCGGCATTAAGACCTAAGTCTATAAGACCCCCGCTGCTCCCCTTTGTCCCATTACGCCCTCCTGTAGGGGACGTCTGCTTAGTATTATTACTAACATTATTATTATTAGTGCTGCTGCTGCTGCTGTTGCTGCCGACGCTGTTGCTGCTGATGCTGCTGATACTGCTGCTGCTGCTGCTGCTGCTGTTGTTGTTGCTGCTGTTGCCAACAGCAGCACCAGTATTCACTGGGCAGCTTATCAATTCTTTAGGCAAGCTTGTCAAGGGCTTTGGCCGCTTTTGCGACAAGAGGGTTCTTGCCAAGTCCTCCCCCTGACTAAAAGAAGGGCCCCCTGGGGCCCCCCCGCTGTGTGGGGGGGCTCCCCCGTTATGGGGGGCCCCTTGAACTCCCCCTGAACCCCATAATGTATCTAAACCCTCACGCGAACACTGATCAGGGCTAGCTGGACTCTTTGCACTAACTGAGGAACAGGAGGGAGTTAAGGTAGAAGTAGGAGAGGGCCCCGAGAGGTCTTCTGAAGTGCAAGAATTGGGTACTACCCCCTTCAGTTCTGGGGGGCCCCCCCTGTGGGGGGGACCCCCCACAGATCCCCAAACCCCTTGAGTACGGAATAACTTTCCGTTTGCGTGGGGGGCCCCCTCCAAGGCAGCAGCAGCAGCAAGAAGGCCCTCCTCCGAATACGCATTCTCTGCAAATTGCTGTTGTACCCCTGGTGCAGTTCGCTGCAGCACCGGGTTCTTCGGTAGCAGCACTTGTAGCTGCTGCTGTTGTTGTTGCTGTTGCTGCTGCTGTTGCTGCTCGTGCTCCTGCAACTCCCGTTGCTGCTGCAGCAACTGCTGCTGTTGACGCTGCGCTGCCAGCTGCTGGTGGCGATTGTCTGAGCAAAAAAGACACCATAAACAACTGCCTATACACCGTAATATATATTTATTCCTCTTTATTCCTCCTGTCTTTACCTTTTTATCTTTGTTTAGCAACAAGACAAATGCAAATAAACAAAAGAAAAAAGAAGAAATGAATACAAGACAGCTGCATGCTAGTAATAATACAATAACAACAAGAAAGACAAATAAACAATGAATAACATTGGATAACATTGGCTACAATAGTCAAAGATAAAGAGACAAAGATAATATACAGACACAATATATCTATCTGCATGCACGTATAAGCGTGCATGCACTCGTGCTACGCATGTATGTTAGTGCACGCATGCAGATCCTATTAGATATATGTATATATATCCATCTGATCAATAATTTGCATGCATATATATATGTATTATAATGTCTATATTTAATATTATATAAAGACGCATGCATGCACTATCACCCTCCGTGTCTTTTCTTTGTTCTCTCCCTCCCCTCCTCCCCCCCACCCCTCTCGTTCCCCCCCACTAACAGATCTACCGATGTATATACATAGAAAGAACCATGAAATATATGCATGCATGCATGTCAATATATAAATAGATGTATAGATGCATGCATATATATATAT